AACCTTTCACTTTGTTGGTGAGTTCTTTTTCAATTATAATTTTATTTCTTTTCATAATTTCAAACATTCATCAATCCTTGATTTTTCTCTGGTTTTTCATCTCCTGATAATTTCCAACAAGTTAGGGTTTACTCATTATTGCTCTGTGTTCTATACTTTATCAAAAAATCAGGTCAGTATCTGTTCTATATTAAAACACACACAATTTTAAGAATACCCATGTATAAACACTTAAAATCCTAACTCAGGTCTGGAATAAGGAAATACTCACCAAAGTCCCTTAATGGATTGTACTCCACTTGATTAGTGACCTAAAATCACCATACATAAGTATAATTAGATTTAATTGATGAAAATGAATTAAACCCTTAGAAAACTACTAACAGTGGCCGTTTTAAGTAATTACCACAACAAGTTCGTTCTTCGATATTTTGCGAACCACCACTTCAGCTTCCTGTGTAGGTGTGGCGATTTATTTTCTAAAACCTATACGTATACAGATACATACGTATTAGCATTCGACATCACCCAAAACTCCACAACGAAAAAGGAAACGAAAGGTCACCTGATTCAGTTTGGTGCTGTGAAGGCCAACAATTTCACTTGATTCACATCACCAGAGATGATTTCTGGTCTTCCTGAGCAGACTCTCACACTCATTATGGCGAGGCAAGTGCTCTAGCTCTCGAAACTATGCACACACACGCATGAATACCCATTTCGTCAAAAACAGACACCGAAAGAGGAAAAGGAACACACTTGGCTTGGGTGCGGTGCTCCGAAAATTCGAACAGCCTCAGGTTTGACTCCGATGATGGTCTTTTTGGTTCCCCTCGAACACTCCTAGCTTGCTTCGAAGTTTTGATGATGGATTTCACACATACATGTTGGTTAGTGTGAAATAGGAAAAGGGATTCTTGAAAAATAGAGATGGAAAGGACGAAACTTACAAATTTTTCATACATTGGTGTCGCGTGCAACTCGGCTTTGGATTTCACTGTCGATATAGTGTTTCTCGGCTGCGATTCCCTTTCCTTCCCTTCATTTCGGCTTTTCACCTTTGCGATACCTCCTCTTCTCTTCTTCGGCCACGTTTCCTTGCTTGTCTCTCCCTCGTGTGGCGTTCCCTTCTCCTTTTCGGCCCTAATCTTCCTCAATCTCGACCTCCTTTCTCACCCAATCGGCTCCTCTCCTCCTCTCTCACTTGATCGGCTCCTCTCATTCTCTCTCTCATTTTCGGCTCCTCTTTTCTGAATGAAGAAAGAAACCCTAATTGTTTCCTTAAATACCCGTCTCCTTGGTCCAACTTGCAAAATTCAATATGGGCCACTCAAACTAAATAGAATTCCAGCCGTTGGATCCCTCGGACAGTTTGATTAGGACCGTCCATCTCCTTATTTCTTTTTACCCCCTTCCATTTCTATTTAATTATGTTTTTACATCATTTTTCTTGCCTATTTTTATTTACGTCCTTAAAATTATTAAAAATTATTAATTTTTTTTTTATTTAGACCCTAAATTCTAATTTAATTTATTTATTTACATATCTTTTTATTTTTGGAGTCCGGATATTACATAAGAGTTTGTTGTTTCTCTTTCTAATGGGAGCACTCATATAGAGCAGTCTACGTTAACCACCTATTTTGTTAAATTAGGGTTAACTTCATTTTTAGTCTCAGCAGTATAGTTGTTGTGAAGTGCCACAGGGAAGAATTGGTACCATGGATAACTTGAGAAAGAGAGCAAAGCTCATTATTTAATCTGGTTTGAGTATGAATCCCCTAACCATCTTTTTCTATGGTTTTGGAGGTTAGGAGGTACTGGAATTCTTTCTAGGTTTCCTTAATTTATCTTACTTCACTTTTGGGTTTGGTGGAGATTGACTAAAGGCTTGGTTGGAAATTGGAGCATGTAAGTCTAGGAAACACTTTTTATTCTATGTCAAATCTCTATCTTTTGGGTTATTTGGAGGCAAGAAAATACGATAATTTCGATAGCGCCTCCTATCTGAGAAGAATAGATATTATTGGTTCCACACCCTGAATATTTTTTGTTGACACCCTATTCTAGGTATTGAGAATTTAGGGAACCTTAAAATGCTTCTGATCCTCTCTAGCTCTTTTCTTTATGGTAGAAACCTCCTTGGAGTGTTTTAATGCTTGTAGTTTGTTAATATGAGATAACACTAATCCTCTTGTTACAAATTAGGTGTAGAACTCTTTTTTCTTTCTCCCTCATAACCAGGTTTTCAAACTATCAGAACTTATCTTTCTTTGCTACCAGGTTCTCAAACTATTAGAAATATTTCAATTCTCTTTTTGGACTAGTTGGACATTTGTGTTAATTTTGGGATTTATAACAAAACAATTGGTATGTGGAACAACCTAAAATTACAAGTGAAAGTTACAATCAGCCCTTAACATTATTTTAACCATGTCTAGAAAATGAAAGCATGGTGCGTAGTGCCTCTATTCTTTTCTAAGGCATAGACTTTTTCCTCACAAAATATATCAATAAACAATGAAAGAGTTTCAAGCAATTATAGATTTCCACGTTAATAATCTAAAATTTCCTTTATTTGTAGGGTTGGGCAGATATGACAAGAATAAGAATCTGACTGCTCCTACCATACACTTATGGTGGAGAAGGGGCGATGCTAGTAGGCTAAAAGGCTTAGGAGTTTTGAATTAAAAAAACTGTTGAAACAGTGATAGACAGTTTGAGAAAGTGACTATTTGATTATTTTAAAGCAAATATAAAAGTCCACCAAGTATACCTTGAAACGCTTTGCTTGAATTACAATTATAAAACCAATACTATCACATCTCCTAGATACTTACTCTTTATCCTGGATGGAGCTGAATGTGACAACCCGATATTTTTATCATAAAAATCAATAGCTAGTCCACTTAAATTTTGTGACAAGCTATTATAGGTGTGGTTTAGGGTATTTGCTAACCAAAGCTTCTACTTTCTTTTCCCGTAATCTTTTGTTGAATAGGAACCCATGTTTGCAGATACTATAGTTTATTGTATTTTAAAAAATATGGAGAATGTAATGAGGTTTCCCCAGTCACTTTGGATTGATAGTAACTAATACCAACATCAGTTCATAATGACATTTGGACAAGCAAGAGAAAAGCTAAGCAGAGTTCAGAAAATGCTTCTAGCCTCTGCACATTGTGGTAGTGACTCACGAAAAATGGTATCAAATGGAAAAACTTGTTTCTGGTCAAATCATATATGTACCACTAGGTTCTCCCCTCCAGACTATGTGGAGGGTAGAGCTTGTTTCCATGGTGGATTGTTGTCTTTGAACTCAAACTATCTGGTATCACCCCATCGCTAGAAGGTGCTTTGTCATGAAGTTACGGGCAACTTCCACACTTCCTGTTCTGTTTTTGCAGTGGAAGCATTGTTCTGTAGTTTTATATTTTTGATAGGTAATAGTATAATATGTTGATTCTAAGGTAACCTGATTACCTACAAAGATTCTGATTCTCATTACTGCAGGTTATATTAAAAATATTTTTAAGATTTGTGTTTATGTCCACTCAATTTTTAATTTGTGCTTTGAGAATCTAAAATTAATGAACTACAAGTTACAGTAACTTGGTTTGATCTTAAGATTGCACCATAAGATGGGGAAAATTATGATGATTTGCTTGACTGTCGTACTATTGTAATTTGTATTGTATTTATTGTTAACTACTGTTGTATGATAAAATTTAAAATTAGAGATGATATTGTTCTATTCAGTAGAAGTTCTATTATGTAATTTAGGTTTTGTTAGAATATGTCAGAAAAAAATTTGGTGACTATGGTTTATTTTGTAGAATTATGATAGAAATTATGGTGGTCTGGTTCTCTAGTCCCTGCACAACAAAATATGTTATGATGACTTGGTTTTTTCTGCAGAGTAATAATATAATGGTATTTTAGTAGTTGGATCACTGTACAACAAACGTATGTTATATTGAGGAACATCAAGCATTGTTTTCTGACTTTAAGATAATAGGAAGTCCTCCTTCAGTCAATTAATTCTCTGATTTCATATTTCAACGCTACTTATATATTCTCTGGTATAAGTGGAACAAAATTGTGAAGTAGGCCAATTTTTTCCTGAATTGGCTAATGGTTGTCAAGAAGACCTAATAATGTATGATGTTTATTATCAGTGATCTACAGTTTTAGGCATAGACCGCTCAGTGGCTGAACACGACTCTAGGGGCCCTTTTTATTAACGTGTGGCTTGGATGAGAAACTAACTGGGAGAAAATGGTATTGACTTTTGGAAGATTCTCTGCCCAGGAGCCAGGATTGCTAAAGGGTCATAAGCAGATTTTCTCTGGACAAAAGTATGCCACTGATTTCCAAAGTGAGTTTTCCACTCTTCTTGACTGCTGTAGTAAGGCAAATACTGCTTAACACCCAGATGTGCCTTAGTACAGAAATCAAGAATTCTTTGATTTTGGATTGTAATAGCTTCTAACCCGTTTGATCCTGTTGATGATGGCAATGCAGAGGAGAGGAATGCTACCAAGAAGAACACATCTTCACCAGGAGTAACTAGAGATGTTCTGTTTGTTAGCCACCTGCAACATGAAGAGTTCGTTAGTATTTCTGGGCCAGGAATCTGCCGGAATATGAAAAATAATTGATCATCAAGTTTATATATACATACTTAGACTTGTTTACTGGATAGATTAGTATAGGGCCATTGTTGTTGTTTTTCAGAATATTGCCAAAGACTTCTTTGGCAAACTCGAAAATCTTGCTTTTTGGTACCAGAAGGTTGAGCCATGGATGTTGAACCTCCCACAATCCTTTTGCTCTAAGTTTCATCTCAGATATGTGAACTCGGTTCAAGAAGTCTAGATAAGTCACTTCTGATAAGAACAGTGTTGATGGAATGTAACTCAGTTGTGACACAAGCTTCTCAGTTTTCTGCATCACGTTATTTATTAGTTGTGTTGATATATGAAGGTTAATCAATTGTCATTAATGTAAATAGTTTTTTTTTTTTTTTTCTTCTTTTTTAATAATTTACTGTATAAAAATCGTAATTAAGGTCTTATACCTGGTTCATGATGCTAGTTTCTTCGTGGCTGTAATAAATACCCATTTCTAGACAGTACAGAATTTTTCCATTTGAATTGAACTGGCTTGCTAGGAGGGTGTCTTTGGGGTTGAAGGAGGATCTCCAATTATTGAGGAGGCCAGTTTGGTTTATAATGACAAAACCTTCAATATAGTCTAATAAATTTTTGGATGATATTAGATACTCTTGGTCCCTGGAAAATATGGAGAATTCTGAATAAAGTACTCGAATCCACTTGACCTGCAAAAAAGGTAGGTAATAAATTCAGTGCTTATGATGCATTATTGTTTACTGATATATACTATAGCACATGCGTGAGTCCACACATATGTACATGTATAGTCTGCTCATTACCATCTGTGGTGCAGGTTCAAGAGAGATTCTCGCCTGAGTGATGATGCCAAACTGTCCCAATCCCCCAAGAACAGCGTAGAAGAGGTCAGCATTCTGCTGCTCGGAACATTTCACTATTTCTCCTTTCCCTGTGAGTCCATGTGTTGTACATCAGACTTAATGACAATTGCTTTTATATATATATATATATATATATCTCATATCTTGTCATCTCACAGAAGGGCGAGTTAGTCAATTCATGATAGAGTCCATTCATTGTCTCTTTCTGCTTTAAGTTACTTGTATTCTCGCAAAAATTCGAACTAGTCAATGCAGAATTTACCCAAGTAAACATAGATTTCCATCGAACTGACACGTGTTCCATCTTTGCTACGCATATCAAAATATAAAAATACATATATATATATATTTATATATATACCTGTGACAACCTCTAGCTGGTAAACGTTATTGATTTGGGGTCCATGCTTGAATGCCTGGCCGCTGATTCCAGCATGTGAAAGGGTGCCTCCGATGGTGAGATACAGGTAATCAGTCCAGGACTTTGGTGCCAGTCCATGCTTAAGTGTCTCATGCAGGACACTGATCCACAATTCACCACCTGATACATCCACGTAAGGCATCTCCTCTGAACTAACAATCTTGATCCCTCGAAGTGATTCCATGTTGATAACAATTCCTTCATGGGTTTGAGCTTGGCCTTCAAGTGAATGGCCATGGCCTCTGGCTGCAACTGTTAGCTTTGAGGAGGAACCCATATGGAAAATATGCTTAATTGTGGAAGAAATGTCAAAGACTGATATGGGATATAGAATGGCAAAAGGCATGAAATGATATCTGTTGCCAAAGTCCTTGGCTGCATATTGAATGTTATGAGCATCGAAGTTGAAGTAGCCATCTAGATGTAGTGCCTGCAATGAGAAAGTGATGCTGCTATTAATGGAGGCGACTGAATGGGAGCAGAGGTTGGTTTTATTAAGTATGGAGCTCAAGACCAGAATCATGAACAACCTAAGGAATATAATGTTGCTTTGTTTGAGATACCCAAAAGGTGGTGATGACCCCATTTCTATAAGGAGAAAGATAGAAAAGAGAGGGTGGAGAGAAAGGGAGGGAAGAGAGATAGGGGCAGGTCTGTTGTTGTGTGTGTTGTCTTGTGAAGGTTAAAGCTAAAAAAAGAGAGATATAGAAGAGCCCTAGGAAATGAAAGGCTGAGAAGAGAATTTAAAGAGGAAGCTTTTGGGTAGCAGCATAATAGTCAAATAAAATCAGAAAATCTACTGTTGTAAAGAGTACTTTATTGTCTTGGCTCATAAATAATTTATGATTCTCTTTTTGGATCTTTTTTTAGAGATGAACGTCACCAGAGAGGAAAAATCTAAGGGTCACAAATAGCATGTACATTTATATATATATATATATATATATATATATTTTTTTTTTTTCCTACTGTTACTTGCTACTTATGAGCGTACAATCTTTATATCTTTCTTTATTAATGAGCTCTTAGGAGATGTTATTGCTAGCTATATCAAGAAAATTTACTTTGCTGACAAAGACCACTCAGTTTCTTTTGCTTTATATATTTCTCTTGAAGATAACACTACCTAACTGTATATACGTACTTGTATACTTCTATTGTTGTCAGATCATATGGAAAATATAGGATTTGGAAAGCTTGACTGTCCGGCCCCTACTAAGTTTGATGTTGTTGGAGGTCGAGTGTGCAAGTCGTGGGGTCCCTCAGCACATGAACTTCACAAGATTGTGGCTTGACAGACCAGGCAATATATTATTATTATTATTTAATATTATTATCATCAATCTGACTACTTTTTTTTTTTTTTTTTTTTTTTTTTTTTGGGGTATGATTATGATATTAGCCATTTCACTATGACTACTCAGATGCCAAGTCCGTTCTCGCAATCCTGTCAAAGTGCGAGGATTCATCATACTTTAGTGTTAAGATCCAATTAAAGGAAGGGATCAAATGCTTGGTTAAACAAAGGTAAGATTCTTTAAGGTTAAGGTTTGTTTACGTAACATACTGACTGACTGCTGATCTATTGAAGTACCACTTTAATTGACCTGACGATAGTCGAGTTGATCATTGGTAAAGTAGAACTCGAATTAAAAAAAAAAATACAATACTATAATTTACAATTAACTCAACTTAAAAACAAGAAATAAATAAATCTTAATATAATTTTAATTCGAATTAAATTTTTAAGAACACAATTTGAATTGAAATTGACTGAAAAAATAAATAACATTAGTCCTACCTAGATTTGGTTGTCCGTTCTAAAAATTATTTAAATACATAAAATACTTGATTTGGACCGGAGGTGACCCAACTTGATAAAATCTTGAAATGACAAATCATAGAATGACCAACTGCTAATCTATGAAAATTTTGATTTATTGTATTACTTCATATTATATTAATTTTTATTTTAAATTTGGGGGATAGAATATAAGCTCCTTACCTAGTAGATTCTGAAAAAGATTTACATGTTTTTTAAAACTCAAGTCTTAATTGAGATTTTCTTTTTTTTTTTTTTTTTTTTTTTTGTAGGTTGATTTTTATTGGAAAGAAAAAGAAAGAAACAGGATCCAGTAATGGCAGCTTATATTTTGCTTTATTTTCTCTTTGTTTTTTTGTTTCAAAATAAAAATAAAAAAAAAATTCAGAATTACAATAAGCTTTGGATAAAATTCTTTTATCAATTTTGCGATTGTTATTTTTAAGCATTTACAGTAAATTATTAAAACCATGAATTAATTTTAAATTAACAACTATTGTTTACTTGGTGGGGTGGCTGATATTTTTCTGCTAAAGAATTTATACTCCTGCTATATTTGTTTAAATTTATGTAATTATAAGTTATTAAACCTGGTTGACATTTTTCTTTATACGTAGGAGATGTGTGTATTTTTATTTTTTAACTCTGATTCCGTACACAAATAATACCCCTCCTCTCACCTTGTGCCTGTAAAACTACTAGGTAGCCAGTGTGGAAATCATGACACCATTTTGCTTTTGCTGTTTGACAACTAAAAGAGTTCAACTTTATTATTAAGCATCCATTTGAAATTTTGGCAAACTTTTCTGGAAATAATTATGTGGATTCCATTAATTAATGTGTATTAACGTCCAAGATATTTTAATTGTGTTGATAATTTGCCTTGTCCCAATTATTGGGTTCATTAAGGAATATTATATTCTGCAATCTCAGCCTACATAAGAGTCTAGTCTAGTCCTCATCATAGTGTGTGTGTGTGTGTGTGTGTGTATGTATATATTGAGTGAGTGAGTGCCCTCAAAAAGCCTTACATAGAAATCTTGCATGCTTCAAATCAAGTATACAATTAATTAATTACTTAATCTCCAAAACGGTTGTAATTATGTGATTAATCAATATTTGTTATTTGAACATACCAATGCACTCGCCCGGTATTACGTAGACAGACTATTTTCAAAGAATAGGTTGGGGGGGTGGGTGGTATTCGTGATTCTCTCCGAGTGTACTCCTACTTCCTAACATCTCCTGAGAAACTTGAGGAAGTAAACCCACGTGGTTATTAAGATTTTGATCTGAATTTTAAATATAAGATGTAATAATTTTTCTTCTGCCTATTGTTATTACGAAAGCAACATACTAAAAAAAATATATATAACATTATTATAATAATATTGCAAGTAGTATCGTTTTAGGCACCATATATCGTGTGTCGGTCTGTCGGTCATGATTTATCGATATATCAATGTAAAAATAATGGTCTACTGCGAAATAGTATAGCACGCATACATACGGTGTCACATGAATGAACTTCTGTGACATACATAAGAGGATAAAGTATATATCAATTGATTCCTTTCAAGATTTGTCAAATTTAATATTAAATCAATTTGTGTCCGTGTGTATATTATTCCGAGTATAAAACTCTTTAGATATGCATGTAGAAAACAAAAAAAAAACAAAAAAAAAAACAAAGCAACGATTTTCAAAACTCCACCACTATATTTTTTTGTGAGTTTGCAAATTTGAGTCTCTTCACAAGATTCACATCAACAAACCTTACTCTTTGTTAGTTCAATATATAGAAAAAGTTAAAAGTATTCTCGACTAAAATTAATTATGTAGTACCCGAGATCGAAGATCGGTCCGGAAATTTTTTTAGGATAAATAAATTATATAAATAATAAATTCAATTTATTTTAATTTATCTTTTATTGAATTTTTTGATAAAAATGAATTAGTAACGAAGTTGAAAATAATTTTAAAAAAATTAGTGAAAATTTAAATATGAAGAGTATTTTTAAAAGAAAAACTGAAAATATGGGACTAAATCGCAAAAGAAAAAATTTGGCCATGTAGAACGGCTCAATCAGCAGCCACGGGGAACCAGAGCACGCCGCGTAGTAAAACACGCTAATATCGACACCAAGCGAGCGAACCGCGTGCTTGGCGATTTGAATTCCCGATCACGTCCCCCGCGCCCAGACAACTCAGATGGATTTTTTTCTTTAGGCGCAATCAGACGGACGAGATCAATTACGATGAACGGTCCATATTTGACTACGCAATCGGTCTAAACAAGCACCGATTGGATGACCCTCCTTTCTCCATGTCGATGCGAACGGATGCCCAGATCGACGCGGGATGGGTATTTAAACATCACGTTTTAAGGAACCCTAACCCTAGCTGCATCTGTTCTTGTAAGAGAAGAGGAACCAGACGCTAGAAAAGGAGATCGACCCTGGTTACCGCCGCACTAAAACCACCAGCAACCGTAAAAAAAGGCAAAACCTTCCCCACTCAAAATTCGATTTCAAGTCTCATATCGGAGCAAAAAGGACACCAGGTGAGTCAGAAATCACAAAAAAAGCTCGGTGGAGCTGTTGCGGCCAAAATCCTAAAACTTTTCCAATGAGCCCCTTTCTATTTTTCATTTCACACAATTTTTTGATCATTATGTTCACCGTCTTTTACAGTGCAAGTTAGCCGAAGAAGAAACCTCAGCCGCGAAGGAGAATTGGCAGAGCTGCCGCACCCGGAGACCCCATCGCCGGTAGTTTTAGTTTCTCTCTCGATTTTTTAGCCAACTAAGGCCCCATAACTTATTTTTTTGTAGGAATACGTGCCAAACCGGTCAAAACTAACCAGGTTGCAGCAAATCGCCACCGTGGGCGGCGGAGCCAGCGCCATGCCAGAACCCTAAAATTGGTCGAAAAACATTTTCAACACTAATTTTAGATTTTTAGAGTATTTTTAGGTACACGACGAGTATTTTAATTTTTACATAAAAAATTCAGAAAACTCGTGACCCATTAAGAGGTGTAGTAAATAGTACAACATTTTAAAACACCGATTCAGGTAAAGATCTCTCACCTTATTCTCTGTTACAGTAAATTGAGAATTAATGATGAATAATTTTGTGTTTCGTAAAATTAAAAAAATCCTAAAAATAATTACAGATCACTAATGGAGTCGGAACTGGTTAATTTATATTTGTCCTGATTCCCTGTTTATTTTTCAGTACTACCTAAATTACTTACTATTATATTGTGTGTATTTAAATTGATAGTTTTTATGGTCTTCTTAATTATTTGGTTATTTAGTTTCTCCTACATTATTTATTCGGTATTCTGTTTATTTGGTTATTCGGCTATGTTAAACTATATCGCTTGCTTAAGTATTGTTTAAATTAATCTGTGAATATAAAATAAGATGTTGGTATGCGTTGGTGGTTATTTGGATAATGAGAATCTATATAAATAAAAGCTTGTTGGGTATCCTAGGAAAGAGTGAATGGACCCGGTATATAGGAAACTCTACTGTGGACATTACCTCAGTTGGAAGGGGTTAGGAAGTCCTATACTGTAAGGGTTTTGGGAGATATGGTTCACCCTTATATTATACGGAGTATCGAGACGATGGTGTTTTTGGCGCCTATTATCGAATGGGATATGAGGACGGTTGAGTTAATTGTCAAATCTTGTACTAGGTCCATGATTAGAGAGATCTCCATATGAACCCCCAAGGATCCTAGTAAGTAGGTAAAAAAGAAAAATTGTTGATCTTATGCATGAAATTGAAATGTCATTTGGATATTTGTCCTTATAAAAGATTATACCCATCTACATTTGCAGGGGCATCATCTTTCAAAGAGGCCGAATATTGGTTAGT